CCCCAAAACCCCAAAACCCCAAAACCCCAAGTTAAATGATATGCTATTAAGAATTTGAAATAAAATAATCTAAAATTAAGAGTAAAAGAGCATGGAAAGACTAGCATAATTATTTCAATCACAAGCAAGTGTCTCAAGCGCTAGCACTTCTTCATTTTCAAGAGCTTCTCAGTTGAATTAACTGCATAGACTGTAGAAGCCTGATCAATCAAGCGACGATTATGAAGAGCTTGAATGTGATTTATAGCAACTTTTGGATCACTATAAATTTCATCCCTTGAATTACTTCTTCCTCAGTAATATTGTATTGATTGGAAAAACAGATGAATTTGATCTCTACTAAGTGTTTTCTAATGAGCTTGAATAGAAATTCCTACTCAAGGTAATCAATGATGAAAAATTATTTGAATGTGAGAAGAGAATAATTGATAAGTTAGAGGGAACATTATCCACTCTAAAGATGAATAATGCTTTTACATTTGAGTTTCCAGTCACCCAGGGTGGACCATAGCAGGACAGATAATTCTATTTTATATTTGAACCATACAAGGAGAATCTGATTTAAATAATGACTTAGAAATAGTCTTAAAAATCTAAAACTTCGAATGAAAAAGTACTATATGAGGAGAGCTAGCCAGTTTTCTCAGAAAAGGAAATGAGAAATTTAGCTGGAGAGCTAATAGAAGTATTCGGAGATTTATAAAGAAAAAGGATATGCCATCGAAATATTAAGCCTGCGAACATTTTAAGAATGGACTATGATGGTGAGAAAAATCTTAGAGTATATAATTTTGAATGGGCTGTTGAATTGTAGGCTCTTGAATAATTTAACAATGTCGATCTAAATGACTCTAAATCAGCAGCTTAGTTGCATGATTAAGATTAGATTCCTATGAATGTAGAAGCATGTTCAATGGTTTATGCATCTCCTTTGGTTATCAAATAATTTATGGATAAAGCAAAGAGTAAAGATAAAGATGAAACAGAGTTATAAAAATACAATCCCTTTAAAGAGGATGTGTTTGGGTTAGGACTTACATTATTGTAGCTTTGCTTAATGTGTAGTAGCTAATAACTCAAAGAAATAAGAGATAATCCTTAGCTTGTATAATAAGTTATTCATGAAAATATGAGAGGTTATTCAGAAAATTTGTGATGCTTGCTTCTAATTATGCTTAATATTTTTTCAAAAAGTCGACCTGATTTTATTCAGCTCGAATAGATTTACAAAGATTTAATTAAGATGGATGATTGCAAGCAGCTACTCTACAATCTTACAAATAAAGAAGATGAGACAGACAATATCGAAGAAACCCAATAATAACAAAAATAGAACCTATATAAAACTCTTTATTAAAACGTGGATCAATTTCTTGAATTGAAAAAGAGAGAGGTTCAAGAGATATACTAAAACTAGTCTGCAAGTACTCCTAGTAGTTCAAGCCAAAGGTTTTCCCCTTAAAAAAGTGATTGCAAATTCCATATATATTCTCCTTAACTAATATGTCCTGTGCATGACGATGAAAAATTCAAGTACTTTTGTCGAAAAGACCAGGAATTCGTTTGTGAATATTGCTTGGTAGAAAGACATTAAGATCACAATATTGAGGACTTGTCAGATAAATCTAAGTACCTTAAATTGCAATTTTAGGCTTAATTAGAATCAGCATAGAATATTCAGTAGCTGGTGCAAACTAAAAAGTCAAGCATCAGATCTGGCAAACATATAGATCAGTTCTTTGATGGTATTTTCCAATCTATATTGGTATTGCATTAGTAAGTCAAGGATAAATATCGAGAAAGAATAGATGACAATTAACTCTAATTCTAATTTGAAAAGCATTGCAAAAAGTAGGAGACTAAGTTTAAAGCTGACCTCGATGAGATTAATTCTTTTATAGAAGAGGAAAGGTTCGCTGAAACATATACTAATCTCGAGTATTATGAGGATTAAATTAGACAGATGGAAAAGCTAAAGTAAAATATGAGCATTTATGATAATCTACTAGAAAATGAGACGGAAAAGCTTGGAAAGCATAGTTCTAAGGAGCTTTTGTAGTTAAAAAATGACATTCTTAAGAAGATCAAGGTGTATATTAATAAAAATATGTGATTACTAATCTTAAATTATTATGATCCCTTAATTTTATGAAACTTTCATCTACGGGGTTTTGGGGTTTTGGGGTTTTGGGG